ACAATGTTCTTAATACACTGATTAAGTCAGTTTAATAGATGATATTTTGATGTTTTTAATAAATGAAAATAAAACTGTTCCATATAAACTACATGTGTAAATTTTGTAGCACTTTGGCCCTTGAGACAATTTTGGGTCTTTAGTACTACAATTTGAGGACAAACGATATGGAAAATAAAATCTAAAATAAACTTATTATTCGCGCTAAACGTGTATTGAATGATGGAAATCAAGACGGAATTATTCTAGTCCCAAATATTTCGCTTATGTCTAAGCATAATGTTATTTACTTATTGAGTAATTAACAACTGTGGAAATCCAGTACTCAGCGACTTTTGTGGAAAAAAAAATTGCAAACTTTGTTCATATTATAAGCACATATTATTTTACTATTTCAGCATAACTGTGTTTATAGTGTTATTCTTTGTAGTGCAGACTTACGTCATAAAGACGTATATTCATGATGTTATTATAGTATACAGTTTCTTCCTCTAGTCTACCTGTACAATATGTGACAGCTATTCAAACATTTTATAACATATATTATAACGGTTGTACAATATTAGGACAGATGTCAAGCTGTGAATTAAGGAATATACCGACTGGTGTACTGTTACAGGTATATACTACTGATCTCAAAGCAACAATACCAATATTTTCAAACAAGCGGTTGTCATGCAAGATACGCCCACATTTTGCAATAATGGACGGAGAACAGGAAAATAGGGCTCAACCTCTCATTGATCTATATGCTTCACATCGATTTAAAAAACAAATATATATATAAAACGATATGAGGGTGGGTGGGTGTGTGTGTGTGGTGTGGGGGGGGGGGGGTATGTCGACCTTGCAACTGAAAGCAACTGGCGTTTTGGCAACTGGGAGCAACTGAATGGAACTGAAAAAGGTCGACCTGAGCGCCTCTTACAACTCAAAGCAACTAGTCGCAGTCAGTTGCACATGTTTAACTTTCTGTAACTAGAAGCGTCGACATGAGCTTTCTTAGCAACTGACGTCAATCCTTTACCGTGGAAATAACATCACGTGATAAGAGACATGCGTCTATGTAGTCTCGGTCACCCAGAACCTTCTAGTCTTCAACGTAGATTTTTTTGTGTCTGGATGATAGAGACTAGTGTCATGGATTTTATAAATAAGCAAAATGGAAGCGAACGAAGACACCCTCTTTTCAAATGTTGCTGATGTCGACAATAATGTATTAATAGAATTGTGGCCAGACCGACCATGCCTTTGGGATGCTTTTTCTTAGGTATTCGCCATTTTGTTTATCACGTGACGAATAAAGTCACGTATTAGCCTAAGTGTAATCGCTATCATCCTCGGTATCCCCATTGGTCTCACTCCGTTCTACTCAACTAACCCCTGGGTTAATTTATGGCATGGGGGTGGGGGGGGCACGTTTTCAAATTATTTTTATTGACCAATCCCATAAAATCGTTAACTGCAATTTTAAGGAGGTTGGCTAAGGGAAGTAACTCTCATCGGGTAAAGAAAGCAAAACGAAAAGGCTCCACTTCAAGAGACAAGGTTATGAATTAGCCAGAAAGTATCCTAAATGCGTATTTATTAACAACAAATTTCAATATTATATAATAATATTTTTTGATTGGTTCGTAGACTTTAGCTACAAAATTAAGGGCAGGGCAGATAATTTGAAATCGTGGAAATCCTATGGATTAACCCAGGATATAGTGGAGTAGAACAATGAGAACACCTGGGGATACCGCGGATGAATCGCTATCAGTTCCGAATTCAGTTGCTCTCAGTTGTCCACAGTTAGGGGAGTAACTACGGAACGAAATGTCACGGTTAGCTGACAATTGATAGGGTTCGTCCTCTCATGAGCCCAATGCTACACACACAATTTGAAATAAAATAACGTAGCTTCTATCGTGTTCAGAAGGATTCGGTAAAGGGTTTTAACTACAGAAAGATGAATATCGATAGGGCTCGTACATCCTCTCATGAACCCAATGATTCACACTAAATTTGAAAAATATCGGTTAAAAATTGTAGCGGACACAGAGTTTTCAGCTAAAGGGAATAACTAAAACGAAAGACCACAATGCTTCAAACCAAATTTGAAAAAAAAAATCCTGTTAAAAACTAGTCGTTATCGCGTTAATAAAGTTTTCTCAAAGGGGCATAACTCCAGAACGGAAGATCTGGTGCGCACCAAAATCGGACTCGTCCAAGATCTTTTGATTCTTAACACATATTTTAAACATGCATTATGCAAGAGCAAAATCTGCTTATTACATTTCTTTCTTTAGGGCTGAAATGTTATCTAAATTATCAATTAGACATTACTTAACTTATCCAGACCATAATAAACTCTCGATGTCAAGGCTAGCCTTCGATGTTGGCTGGATTAGATTCGGGATGCCGAATCGACAGACCCACGGGATATCGACCACATTTCAATGGGCGTATAAAAATTAAAATGGAAATATATATTTTTGAAGCGATCTTAGTTATTTGGTCTTTACTTTCTATATATTATATATAAAATGAAGCCACTCTATTTTTTTGCAAATTGTAAACAAATATTTTGCCTGGGACATATTGAAGAACAACGGTGTCGTGGTATATACCCACACCCTTGTTACCGTCACCTACTTGTTCATTGTGTATGAATACAATACCCGAATGCCTACTTATACTAAATAAATCATTATTATTTTCCTCGTTCTTACGCAATCTGATAACAGCAGCTACGTTTGACATTTAAATATAGATTTTCTTTTGAGAATATATTGTTTATTTGACGGGCGGTTACTAAAATAGAAAACGTTTGAACTTTTCAAGTTACCGTTAGATCAATACAGTATATCCTGAATAAATCTCAGTCTTTTAGTTCACAAAACTTCAGTATTGATATTTATCTGTTTTCAACCTATGAGTGGGTTTCAAATATTGATAGACTGGCGAGTCATTGTTTCTATGTGAAATAGCACTGCAAGGCAACGTAACATATATACGCACATTAAGAGTCTGTGCTGTTCAGTTTCAGGAGCGTCACATTTTTATGCGATGAACTAACACTGGTTGTTTGCTGCCATGCTGCTCTAGATCTGCTTTCATGTTACTTTATTCCAGACCTATAGTTCAATGTTACTCTATAAATATTTTAAAATACTCAACAGTAATAGTAGAACCACAACATCGTGCCACTCACATTTCAGACAATACTTCTTTTTTCACGGCGTAAACCACGCTAAAATGTACTCAAACTGATTATTCAACATTATATAAGAAACTAAAATATCATCAACATGTTGACCTGTAGTGATGTGCTATGCTAGAATAAGTGTTAAATATAACACAGTTGTTTCCTGGTTACACTTCCACGCCACCCTTTCCAGTTTAAAATTAGGATGACTTACACTCAGTGTCGAATTGACAACATAGATAGTGTTGGTAGGCTGAAACTTAGGGCCTCGAGATCTAGCGGGCCTTCAACCAAAGTGTATAATTATTTTGATATACCCCCCCCCCCATAAGCCTTTCTGCACTGTACACTGTACAGTCTTAAAAATCCGTCATCATGCATGCACGGCTTCGCTCAATTATGTTTAAAACCACTTTCATATTTGGGGCCTTATAGGGCCCCTCTTCATCTAAATCCGTCACCGCTGAACAGTTCCATGCCGATCGACAGTTCCATGCTAATTGCTATACTACAGTTCTGTTCTGGAATAAACGACTTAAAAGGAATGCTGGTTTTGGGCCAGAGTGCCAAAGAAAACTGTTTGTGGCCACAGGCCCCTTTATTATCAATTTAAGTCATTAAAGAAAACAGATAGCCTTACAAAGCGCGGAATACGCCCACGCAGCAGCTTTCTCTCATCTGCTTATCCGGAAGATAAATTTGGATGTTGACCAAATTTGATAAGGATCTAGGATCCTTGAAGAAATCTAAAATCTAATCTGTAGGGTTCATCCTCTTATGATCCCATTGCTTCCAACTAAATTTTTTTTAAAAAAAGAAAAAAGGTTAAAACCTGTAGCCTCTATCGCTTTTTCGACAATGGGTTGTGGTAACTCAGGAACAGGAGACTGCGAAATATGACATCAATGACCCCAATATTTCAAACCAAATATGAGAAAGATCCATTAAAAAACAAAACCTTTATAGATTTCACAACATTTTTTGGAAAAGGGGCATAACTGCTAACGGAAAGTCGCAGACCACTGAATATTGATAGGATTCATTCTCTGATGACCCCAAATGCTTCCCACCAAATTTTAAAGAAATCCGTATAGGCTCTATCGCAATCACAATGTTTTCGGAAAAGGTGGGTAACTCCGAAACAAATAGTGTTTGTCCTGTCATCCTCACACCAAATTTAGAAGTAATCCTTCAAAAACTCGATCGCATTCACAAGCTCATTATATGTAGGTGTATAAAAAGTTATCCCACAGTTTAGTTCATCATGCAATTCAGATGGTGGACTTTGGGTTCCAGGCTGCTCTAGATTAATTGTAGCCTTTGGGATTCATTCTACTCTAGATTAACTGTGGACTTAAAAAGTTTCATCTTACTCTAAACTAATGGTGGACTTTGTGTTCCGTGTTAGGCCTACTCTAGATTAATGGTGGGCTTTGGTTTTCATGTTATTATATTTTAAAAGTAGATTTGGGGTCTGATGCTACTCTGGATTAATCGTGGACTTTGGGTTTTAAGCTACTCCAGATTAAAGGACTTTGCATTCAATGTTACTCTATTTTAATCGTAGATTTTGGGTCCGATGCTACTCTGGATTAATCGTGGACTTTGGATTTTAAGCTACTCTAGTTTGAAGGAGGACTTTGCATTCCATGCTACTCTATTTCAATCATAGATTTTGGGTCGATGATACTCTGTGGACTTAGGGTGCCATGCTACTCTAGTATTACCTACGGATATTCTCTGTATACCAAGCATATTATGGTAAACTTCTACATTAACAGAAAAAAAAAATATAACCAGACAACAATTTAATATTTTGGATAACATAAATTTATTTCATCTTATCAGCTGATAACAATAAAAATGTTAAATAAGTCAATAACTGTTTCACTTGTATGAATGTTGGATGAGCAAATATAGGGAAGGGGGGTAGGGAAGGGGTGAATACATGATACTATACAATAGCAATGTTTTTTTTTAATATGATGTGTTGTGATGGGGGATGTGTGTTACTTACAATCATTATATATACATTTAGACAAAGCTATCTACCCCTAGATTATAGCATAATGTATGTGATGAAAATGAAATAACCAAAGGGCAGACAACTGGGTGTATCATACATTATACATGGTACTATATAAACAATAATAAATTTATATAAATTACAACAGGTTCACTGAACGTCTACTTTTGTATAATAAACAAAGAATAACAAACAAACTGAAAGCATTTTAGGCAGGATACAAATTTATAGATTTAGCTATACACAGATGTCAGCCAAATTCAGAAACCTTGTAGATAAGTGTACATCAGTTAAACTTTGATTTGTAACAGTGGGCTAAACACAATGATAGATTAATAAATTAGATCTAAATGGATCAAAATTATTTGAATGGTTTTGCCACTAATTTTTCTATCTTTAGCGGAGAAGGTTCTTGAAATCCAAATTCTTAAATCTCCAATTAAATCTGGAAATATGCCCAACATTAAATAAGTATTATATAATTTGCTAACATGTAATAAAATTAGTCATTTATAGTTTATATCAGACACTGACCGACTTGTTAAGAGAGAGAGAGAGAAATGGGGTTTAACGTCCACTCGACACAAACTAGGTCATTTCGGGACTAACATATGGTTTAATTTTATTTACATAATTCGCTTGCGCATAGGGGTCTTTAGCAGTGGGAGGAAACCGGAGGACCCGGTGAAAACCCACGAGGTTGGACAGGCGACCCTACTCCTTGCCACGTACAACCGGGGATTCGAAACCACGCCAGTCGACTCTATGACAGACTTTATGATACAGCGCGCTCAAGCTAACCATTCAGCCATCCAACCCCCCCTCGACTTGTTAAGAAATTTTAAAATCTAAATGCCTCAGACATAAAGTAATACATAAAAGAAAATTGAGGGAGTAGAACTCTGTGGGTAAAGGAACAAACATATTTTTAAAACTGATGGGGGTAGAACTCTGTGGGGAAAGGAACAAAGGTATTTTTAAAAAGAATAAAATTGTCCCCCCAGGAATCTAGTTCCTCCCTAATGTTCGTCTCCGGGACAAATTCTAAATCTGTTTGATTATCTATCAAACCATATTATTTCTTCATTTTTTAAGGTGTCTATCTCATTTCATGAAAGTAATATGTCTTCAATAGATGCAAACGATAAAACTTAGAATAATAAACGATAATTGTAAAATGACATCATATACAGATATCTAATTAAATAAACACCAGTAATATATAAACAAGCATCTATTTACATAAATAAAAATCATATATATAATAACAAATAAACATTTACTTATAACAGGTTGTATAGAACCATTTCGCATTCATATACACGCAATTCAAACATATAATTCTCTAATTCAAGGGAAATAACTCCAATATTTGATGGCTTAAATTTTCTTCAGTTTGCACACGATGTCACGGAATGACAAATACAGGGCATTGTTTCAATGAAAGTATGGCCATATATGGCCTCCTAAATCTCTATTAAAAATCGAACTAGGTTATTCCCTGGCAGTGTCTATTATTTCATAACCTTGTTCCATCACTTGGTCTTGATTTCATTTCTTCCATCACTACATGTATGTTTGTTTTCCAAATCTTACATTTACCATGATTATTTTGTTGTCACTGTTTTGAGAATATATTTTAAATTTCATCTATGTTTCAAATGTAATTTTAAAACTTACCTCGGAGGACTGAGATTAAATCTAGCCTTTCACAACCATATGAATATCAATTTATTAAAACAATTTTTTGTCATAATGTCTATTTCTAATTTGTAAAGAGTTTGCTGGTGTGCCATTTCGAAAGAAAAATTATTATTGATTTCATTTCCACTTTTAACCAAATTCACATAATTATTCTCAATGATCACGCCTGGAAAATAACTATTTAAATATGTGAATAAAATTAACCAAAGATATAAAATTAAATGAAATGAAGAGTTTAGAAAGATTACAACTACAACTTATGGAAGCAGGACCACTTTCACCAAATTATTTTTGAGAAATACCCCACCTCAATTTCAAAATCATCTACCTTCTTTTGCCAATGTACCGGTATTTTAAATTAAATGATTACTAATCTATTATCCCATGCCAATATATTATTCAAAATCCATAACCCAGTGTCCATGTATTAGCCACAAAAAACTAATATATTAGCTAGATATGGCTACTGGTAATACATAACCACCCTAAGCCAATATATTACCATAAAAACTCTTGAGAATGCTAAAATATATTTACATTACCAAAAAACATCTGACTTATTAGGAGCAAGAAAAGTGTAAGTAAATTATTCATTGCAAAACAGTATTAACTCTGAAGATTTATTTATGTTTAATTTAATATACAAACAACAAGTTCCCTGTCTCGCTCATTTAATTTCATAGGTCTTATTTCTTCTATCATACGATTTCAATTTGTATGCTTGATATACAACCATCAATCATTGGTAATCTTAAACTTGAAGTAATTCGTTGGCTCTGAATTTTATGAATATTTTTGAATTAACTTTTTTCCGTAGATGATTTAAAATCGTTAGCAGCATCTGGCATTTTCCACAATATTGAAGAAATGAGACAAGGGGAGATAATAACAGATGAAAGTGATCCTACTTGCAGTATATTGAACTGTACATAACATGATTATACAATATATATAAAGAATATTTATACATTTAATATACACAATGACTTTATATAAATAACTCACATAGTCCAGTCATCTAAAAGCCCTATTACGATGTGGTGTTTTTTTTTGTACTGTTAACATTCACATTGTTACATTTACCACATAATGTTGGCAGAGTCTTAAAAAAGTTCAACTTCTACAACAATTCAATGTAAAAACACATGTTCAAAAGGAAATATGATAATGACGTCAAATCAGATGTAAACACCTAAAAAAACTACATGGAAACCAGTCATTATTCTTGGGTTCAACTTAAAGGATCTTCCTTTAGAAAATAATTTTTATTCTTTTCAGATTTTTGGGGGGAGAAAAATATACTGCAAAAAACAAATCTGATTCCATAAAAAGAAAATATTTCGTAGTCTTGTTCAAATAATAAAGTGGCATCATATCTTATCAAAAGACTGGTTATATGTGACTATTAGAGTTGAATATTGTATGTAATATAAACTAATAAGGAAATTTTATAACAAAACTAACATAGTTATATAGGACAACAATCACTGGTTTATTATAAACAACATTTTCATAAGTATTCTCTAATTGTTAACAATGTTGTTCTTTATAATGATAAAAGGATATTTATCAAAATGTGAGTTGTTGGCTTGCTAACCTGAAGATCCCATGTTCGATCCCTGCATTGGCTGAGAAAGTTCATCAGGATTTTCCAGTGTGGTTCCCCCTTGTCAATGGTGCATTGTAGAGGGTCTGGCAAGAGACAATGCATAGTTGTTCGGATGGGATTGAAAAATCGACATCCCATGTACACATTGGCATGCACGAAAAAAATCCCCTGGCAGTTGGAATTCAATATAAGAGTAGGCCGTAGCACTGCTTTCCGGACAAAATCCCCCCCTAGCACACTCTATGGAGTATGCTGTCCTCATTAGCTCAGTCTGTACAGACATTAACCTCATCTCATTTCATTCCTATATAACTGTTTTAGTTTTGTTAAGTTTCCAATCTCTAAATTCCAGTAAAGGATTATGAAATTTTATAAGCTTATTATATATTACAACATAATCATCAATTAACATTATAAACCTTAGACTTGTTAACCAACATGTATCTACAATATTTTCTTGTACTTTTGAATATATAGAAGAAATGTAATTAAATTTTTAAATAATATATGACATACATATGTAATAATTATAATCAGTTTGATGGAATATTTAAAATAAATCAGACATTTTCCACTCATTAAGATCATATAAGGAGATTTTTTTCTCCTAAAAACATAGCTAACAAAATCAGACAAAAATCTAGATTTTCTAGATTTAAGTCTTATTAAAGGGACAATAACACTCTTGCTGGCTTGGCAGCTCCAGTAAATAAATATTAGCCTTATTCTAAGTATTAGATGTTTAAGTGTCCTACCTATTGTGTGAATTATCCATTGCATCCTATTTTACATTTCCAGAGGGTTCGAAAATATTTTTAAATCCATGTCACATTTGAAAAGGTTTACGTTAGACTTTTCAAATCATTTAGTTGAATTTTTCCAATTTTTTAAATTAGGTGTGTTAAGATGAAATTTGTATCATCAATTAATTGGAATATTGTAAAATAGTACAATTTGTTGACCAGAATAAAGATTGGGACATATTATTCAGTTACAACAAGAGTGGTATTGAGCCTTTAAGTAACTAACCTAGTCTACGCAATCTTTCCATCAAGAGAGTTCCTCTATTTAGAACGTCCACAGGCACATAAAATCTTCTATTTATTCAGTGAACCAGCAGCATTTTAAACATAAACTTTATTAACTTATTTAATGATATACCTATACATTTACTTATAAATATTCATCCATTAATACAAATAAATAAAACATAAAACTGTCGGATTTATAATCTGAAATCTTTACCTTAAAAGTTATTCAACAAAAAGACTGTTATGTTTTGTTATGATAGAGAGAGAGAAATGGGGTTTAACGTCCACTCAAAAACTAGGTTATTTCAGGACTAACATATGGTTCAATTTTAATTCAATAATTCACTTGTGCATAGGGGTCTATAGCAGTGGGAGAAACCGGATGACCCAGAGAAAACCCACGAGGTTGGACAGGCAACCCTACTCCTTGTCTCATACAACCGGGGAATCAAAACCACGCCAGTTGACTCAATGTTATAGATAAGCAAATATTGATACTTAAAATAAATATTTCTATAAAAATAAGATTTTTTTTCATCTCTTTATCCCTTTTCTCTGTATATTTTCCTTTTTTGTACGAACATCTTCTATTCCATGGTATAAAAACAGCTTTATGTAACAAATTCTACTGTAATCTAAGGTCACAGCCATATTGGATAAAATTATAAGTATATTACATTATTTTGATTATAAAATTTTGTTAATCTATTTTGCAGTAAAACTTCACTATTTATACCAGACAGCTCAATATACTTAAAATTAGATTCAAATGTTGTTTCGTTTATTTTTTTTTGACTTTACGACTACATTGTAGTACATTGTACTAAGTACAACAACAAAAAATCTAAAACATAACTGATTTGGTCATATATAAATATGACAGAACCTCTCAGAATTGTTTTAAAAATAAAACATTGATTAGATTACATTCAAGGTGTTTTGTTGACTAGTGAACAGGTATTCTTACTCTACTTTTACTTTGTTTTTTTTTTACATAATAGAAACATACTTTCGTGTATATCTTAAAATTAAAGCATACCTTGAGTATATCCTAAAATTGAAACATACCTTCAAGTATCATCTTAATATTGGCAAGATCTCCAGTCAAAAGAATCTGTTACATCAAAAAAATTGACACCTCAGATCTAATAAAATCAACATTTTGTTATTCTAAACAACCATCATCAAGGTTATGACCATATGGAATACATTCTTAGTATGGATTACCTTTAATTTCTGTTTTAAAATTCCCTAAAAGGAACATTTACATATACAGCTAAGAAAACCATGAAAACAATATTAAAATTTCATTGTAATATTAATTTTAAAATCAATAACAGAATATACCACAAATAAAATTTAATTTTAAAAAGTTTCTAGGCGTGCACATCTTTCGTTCCTGGACCATGTTAAAACAGAATATTATCTCTTCACATATAGAAAACAAAAAACTTACAATAACACAGAGACCATTTACATATTCATACACGACACAAACTCATGGCAAAACTGGGTATAAATTAAATTATCACCGGAAAGTTTCCGCACTTGAACTCCAGGGGTTTCCCCTTCACACACTTCCATTTCCATTTGAACATTATTGTTCGTAAGTCTGAACATGTTCTGTGAACACTGATAATCAACATTCGGACAACGCGTATCCAAAATTAACTTGATGGCCATGAGGAGTTCTTCAACAGTCTTATGTAAAGCTGGATTAATGTTTAAAAGAAGTTTGGAATCAGCGGAACTCTCCTGGGAAAGTGCCGACTGGGAGCAGTGAGCGAAGCTGATTGGTGATTTACGAGAAATTCCAGCAGTTGGATTGGATGAAGAGAAATCTAAAACAGCTTTAGACATCATTTCTGATTGGTCTAAGCTGCTAGCTCGTAATCGTGGATCGTGAATGTGTGATGTGGGGATCTGATCAAGGGTAATATAAGGCGTGTTTTGTAATATAGGATATTGAAGAGCGTATGAGTCATGAATGGTATGGTGGCGACGAAAACGTCCTTGATTCAGTCGTGGAAAGGGATCGGAATTTATCAAGTATTGTGTATTACACCAGGCAGGTGGAGTATCTGTCATCGTATGACCTCTGTGACCCGAATCACCATTAGAACTGACAGACGGTATAGAGGTCAGGTTAGTATTCACAAGATTGTTAAACATATTAAACACAGGGAAGGGGGCAGCATGTACACTGGGTGGGTGAGATACGGGAACATCCTTTGGGGTAAAGCCACCAAATTTTTTCGCTGTTGTAGTGTCAACGGTCGTTTCCTTTGTATCCATCTCATTGTCCTCTTCCTGCAGGGTTGGAACATCAGTGACATGACCCTGTGTGTCTGTGATACTTATCTGAGGATTTCCTGCAAACTGCTTGTGGCGAATATCTTGACTTGTTCGATCTGGAAGACTTTCCCCCATTTCCTCGTCTTCAGCAGCACGAGTTGTGATATCGATGGCATCTTCACGAATCATGTGAAGATTCTGAAAGTTGGGAGGAGGACTGTTACGCTGATGATAAATGGCCGTGAAGGAAGATGGTGGGGACTCGGATAGTTGTGGGGGGTGACCAGCTGTTAGTGTTGGAGGACTAGTACGATTATAATTTGGAATAACAGTATTGGTCTGCATCTGTTGTAGATGAAGCTGTTGTAAATGTTGATATAAATTGGCAGGTTGTATATCAGGCTTATTAACCTGTGGTAGCTGGTAATTTGGTGAACTTGGAAGTGGTGGGGAAGGATTCGGTGAACGTTGTAATGATTGCGTCTGAAATATAGTAAAATTTTCAAATTAGTTGGGAAAAGGACTTCCACTTAAAAATTTGCAAGCCAGCCAATTTGACTTATTTTGTTTACAACAGAATAGCAAAATATTTTTCCAATGAATATGATAATTCTTAATATTATACAAATTTCTTCATGTATTTATAGTTGTTTTTACACATATAAACTATAAATTTAACTGTATTTATAGGTGTTTTTACATATATAAACTATAAATTTAACTGTATTTATCGTGTTTTAAAGATAAATTCTTTGATATTTTAATTTTATGGCATATAAATTGACTGACAGGTAAACTCGTTAATTTTACTGGCAATATAACTGAAACAAGAGACTTAGTTTCTAATCATATATAACATTCTTTCAGAAATATTTCATGTTTTTTCTAAGAAGCTTTAGTTGTATTCTAGACATTGTACTGTGCATTATGAAAGAAAGTCACTATTTTCTGAGAAGGAGTTAATTCCTGTTGTAATTATAAACACAAGGCCTATTATCCCACTTATTATCAAGTCTAATTATATTGCCCTTTTCCTTTCTTTATTAACTAGCTTTATGTGTGTTTGTTGTGTATGTTTGTGGTAATAATGTGAACTATCTAATTGTTGCTTCTTCTTGTGGGCGTATTTATGCAATAAAATTTATCTTATTAAAATTCAATACAATGTGACTTAAAGAGTGTGGAAGATAAGAACGTGTCCACATCTAGTCTCTTTTATTTACATTCAAGATGTTCCTGTGTCCAGCTCAGCTTATGTCGCTCAACAACATTAGAACTATCAGAAACCTGCTAGCTTATGTTGTCTGCTAATGAAAGGATGGCAAGAAAATAGAACAAATCATAGTTGGCATCTGATTTAAATCGGATCAACATTGATGTCATGAGTACTATTATTCATTTGATTAAAGTATATTAGAAATTAACTACTAGATGTAAATTCTACATTTAATTTAAGGTAAGTATAATTTGAAATGAAAAGTTTGTAATGTACTTTCTAATGTTAATCCCCCATTTATAATACTTCAATGTATTTAGCCAGCTTAAAACACAGCTTAAAAATAATAATTCTGGTAAGCAGCAAGCATTATCAAAACAATGGCACACATATTTAATAACTTTATTGAAAAACTTCTATGACGTTATGAGAAAACAATTTATGTAAAAAAGCTTCAAATATTATATTAAAAAAACAACAAAAAAACAATATTTTGATATCCTTTTTTTTCTTTTTTTTTTTATAACAAATAACAAGGAAAAGACGACTTTGATTATTATAAATGGCTTATGATTTAACCGTGGTCATTATTAGTAAATAGCTAAAAATATACTACTGAAAAATTATATTAAAGATAGGTTGCCAGGCAACAAAACATACCCCCACAGCAGCTAAATCATCCGAGCGGTCGTCAAGGGTTGTCGCATATTTATTCTTTGTAGGTAATTGGGGGCCTTTACATGACAGTTCCATACAGATCAGATTATAAATTTTGTCGTTTGAGGGTTTACAAGGTTCTACAAACTGAAACAAGGGTCTCAACTCTGGAAGTAATCTACAGAAATTGTTGAAATTTGACAGGCTTTTTCGTTTTACTAATTTAAATAATGCATATAAATTTCATACAGATCACATGATCACCTTTGTCATTCAAACGTTCACAATCGCCACAACTCTAGAAATTATTGACAGAAATTGCTGAAATTCAATAGACCTGTTTCACAAATTTAAATGATGCATATAAATTTCATACATATCGGATAATAACTTTCATCAATCGAGCATTAACAAGGTTTAACAAAGAGAAACAAGGGCAATAACTCTAGAAGTAATTATTGTAAATTGCTGAAATTCAATAGGCTTCTTCATCTCACTAATTTAAATAATGCATATAATTTTTAGAAAGATTGAAAGAAAACTTTTGACGTTAGAGCGTTCACAAGGATCAATAAAGTGAAACAAGGGCCATAACTCTAGACGTAATAAACGGAAATTGCTGAAATTCAATAGGCTTCTTCGTTTCAGTAATCTAAATAATGCATATAAATTTCAGAAAGATGGGATGATAACTTCTTCGTCTCACTAATGTAAACAACATATATCAATTTTAAAACAATTGGATGATAACTTTTGGCGTTTAAGCGTTCAAGAGAAATTGTGGACGATGGACGGACTGACGGGGGCGACGGCAATACACGTCCACATTTCAATGTGGGTGTATAAAAATCTAATTTGCATATTACGTTTGGAAACCAATGACGAATACTGTATTATTTCTTCCACCAGAGGTTTTCAATTATATTTGTTAGACCAGTTTTACCCTGTATTATAGATTGGGTTATATAAATGATTATGTTAAAACAACACTTTGGTAATATTAACAATAACATTTGCTAATTTTTCTTTTCCATTGTTACATGTACCTTACAGAAGGAACAAGAATTTAGTTTGAACAATAGCATTCCTGCCTATTTCAAACCTCTTTGTGCAATGACAAAATGTAAACTAGACATAGTTTGGTTCATTAAAAGAAACACTTTGGAACCTCACTATAAGGTGGGTTTCAGTATAAGGCGGGAGGGTCAAAATTCTTTAAGTGCGGACCCAGCGTAGATACATTTGCTTTCACAACACTGCAGCTATGCTTTACCCCTTATAGTTAACCAGGATTTAATGTCGATGTATTCTAGTTTTAAGTGCAGTTTCCCACCCAACCACATTAATACAACATATTTCAAACAAATATACCAAAAAATGATCAGAGATTAATTTATATTTATTTACCTGAAATGATTGTTGATATCGAGGATTTTGTTGACGGCCATGTTTATCACTATCACGACTACTAACTTGTTTCTATAAAATATCAAAACACACATAAATAATCAACAGATTTATTTTATGAACAAGATAGTCTCGAGTTCAATTTTAAGGTCACAACAATCTAGCTGATTTTAAAATCAAGACCATCTACCAGTAGTACATTTCAAGATCACAACAATTTTGTTTATTTTAAGATCATGAAAATCTAGTGAACATTGTTCATTTTAAGATCAAGACAATTCAGTTTATTTTTTTAAATGCCTTACATTTGATATGTAAGGATAAGTTATAAAACAAGTATAAACAGCGCTAAACTATTAAGAATAATAAATTGGTTTGGTGGCCCCTGGATCCATTCACTTGATTTGATATTTTGTTTATTTCTTGCCAGGTCTATGCATTCTGTCTTATCCGTAAGTTTATCTTGTAGATTTTGTTTTGCGTGTAGTGTGGTCCTCCTGCACTTACTAATAGTCTTATTAACAGCAATAACTGATGTATGCTAAATCGTCACGTTCTGCTCATGTAAACTTGGGCAGGCTAATTTTAAATTCATTTATTAATCATATACAATGACAATTTGTCACGTACAAGCTGGGAATCGTAACCACGCCACTTGACTCAATGACAGACCGGATGATCTAAAAAAGAGTACACGTTAGACCATTAAGCAACACAATGAAGAAAAAAAATACCTGAAGTTCTTGACATTCTTGTTGTAATGCCTTCAGAGAACTGGCACTGCCTCGTCCAGTTGATCGTAAAGAAGTGGCGCTGTGTACTGTTAGTTGTTGCTGGCCGATTGTTTCTTTAAATATTCGTTCCAGGTGAGTTTGATATTTATGTAAATTAGATAAACCATCACTTGCACGTCGTACAGGTGAAAATCTCTCATTAGGTAAATGTAAACTATTTATATCTTTATATGTTTCACGACCTAAAAAATACAAGATAGGGGGTCACGTTAGTCAAGGAATTTTTACTAGAATCATGTGAGTTCGATCCTACTGGTCAGGGGAAGAAGATTGCATGCCTTCTGAAACACAGAGGTCCACCTGTGTATGCTTTGGCATACACGTAGAAGATAATGCTGTCAATCTAAAAATAATGAGATGTTAAATTCCGTTCCGTTCCGTTCCTGAACAGAATTCAAATAAACAATACAGAAAATTCTGATTAATGAATCAAGTGTGGATTAAACCATAGCTTGAGCCCCCATGGAAGTTTTTTTTTCATAATAAACATAACATACTTGGTCGTTCTTGTGGAGAGAGAAGCCCTCCGCTACGTCGAGCTCTGATTGGTTGAAGTGATAATTTCTGCTGAAGTTCGTCTGGAATTTCATTAACTGGATTCGCCACTGCTAAAGTATGACGTTTGGACCAACCTCGATTAGCTAAATATCTACAAAACACATACATAAAATAGTTAAAGGAAATTTAAAAGTAATGAATCACCATACTAAATGACATGTGTAATTGAGGGCAAAGTGTCCTGGAGGCTGGAGTACTTGAAGCCATGTTTCTGTCTAAATTTCAAGACAACAGTGGCAATCAGGTAACATATATGTAAGAATAAAGGATGCAACATGATTGAGGCTGTTATATTTATGATATCATACCTGGAAACTGCGTCTGGATCTGGCTCCTGGTCTGATCCGCAATCTTCAGCCTCCTCCACTGTTATAGAGTTCTGTAACGATGGTGTTGGAAGTGGAATGCCTGTAGGTGACAGTGTGGACTAAAAGATAAACAGATGACTTCATAACTCACATAACTCACAGAATTTTCATTTAAAATTAAACAAAAGACAAGGTGGACATGGTTCGATAAAATATTTTTCTTAGAGGCATTTAACATGTGTATCAACACATTCCAAAATATCCAGTCAATCCCATGTATTTTTGAAATAATGTTACAGCAAAATTTTGAGTAGTTCAAAGAAAATTGCATTGCCCTGGTTCTGGAGTAGGACCACTTTAGTGAAAAATTTGAACTATTTTTCATTACACTTACAGATATCATAATGAAGAGCTAGTTTACCATCTTTATATTCATATCTCACATACATGTATCTTAAATATTATCTATTTCTGAAAGACCTAATGGAATGTTGTTTTAAATTCATTCACATTTAATTACATTTTTATTATAGAAATAACCAGTTACCAATGTTTACAATATGATGGTACTTACAGATGAAAGTGCTTCATGACTGCCAAGTTGACTGTCCATATAAGCTTGACGATGAAATTGTTGTGAAAAGAGATGTATATTTGCACCACCATCAGACGCCCTTCGACTCAGAGTATTACCAGCTGTAAATACAAAAATACGAAGATCAGATAACAGCAAATCAATCATATATTATATAAAGTTTATTATATTTTTAATCAGTGAATCACACTTCTTCACTTTATATAGCCTATCAGAAGATTCTTTGATTTGGATTATTAATTTCTTGAAAAAATTTGCTTATTTTCAAGGGCCATGTCAGAATAATGGTTAAATATAAAGATCAAGATCTTGTACAATAAGAAAACTTTTAATAAAAACCACATTGATCTAAAATTAATCAAATCCATCCACTATAACTGAAGTTACCAGCATCTAATGTTTACATCTTTTTTTATATGTCTAAGACAAATAAAATAATAATAATTCTGCTAACAGTTTTATTAAAGCCAAAACATTCTTCATGAACGTTTTGTATGTATATAAAATAACACACTTTATCTTGTTAAATTTTCATTTTGGAAGATTGAGCAGAATTGATTCGTTCACCTCTTCAGGTTTAATTGAGGCTAAAGTTATCGAAAACACACAGAGAAACTGGCATCATAAAGATTGTCAATTTTATTTTTGACCAAAATCAAAGAGGGAGTTATGTGTTAAATTTTCTGGATAAAAAAGACTAATCAATTAGAAGTTTTACTAGCATTCATTAATAGTTGAAATTTAATAAAATAACTCTAATTCTAAAGCTATTCCGGTCAACTTACCTCCTCCCATCAATGATGGTGGTTGTAGTAGATTGTTACTGTCTTGTATAGTTAGACTGTGTGGAGGGAGGGTGTTTGTTAGTGGAAGATTATTAGCAGGAGGACTATTAGGCCAACCCTGTAGTGTGAGGAAGAGATTAGGCTGTTGTTGCGCCAAAATGGGCTGATTATTAGCTAGTTTAGCTCGGACATCTTCTGGGGGTTCTAGACGTGAATCTCCAACCCCAACAGTATGTCGTCTCATTGCCAGATAACGAGCTAACGCTTCAGGTGATGGTTCCTCGTCTGAATCAGACTGATTACTGTCTTCAGGTTGCTGAAAAAACAATAAATATAATGTAAATATAATCTTTGAATGGCATTTAGTAATTGAGACATGAAAAGAAATGAAATGGAGTATAACGTCCTACTTTTCTGCTCCGACTGGGCTACTGAAGATGGGCATACAATATACAGTCCACTATGAGGGAAATTCAACCTGGACATCTTTGCTACAGCCTACTCTTATATTGAGTTTAATTGAGACATGATCAAATAACAAACTTTTTAAACCATAGTAATTGTTGTTCCATAAATAGTGTTTTATTTGATAATATAGGTATAGATATTTGTAAGATACAGTTTGATCATGCTCATTCTACCTCATTAATCTCCCACTTTCTATATGTCTCACATTCTATATGTTTCACAGTCTAAAATTCTATATGTCTCACATTCTATATGTTTCAGAGACTATCACATTCTCTAGAGTTTTCACAGTCGAAAATTCGGTATGTCTCACATTCTAATTGCTTTTCAGTCTAAAATTCTATATGCCTCACATTCTATAGTTGCTACAGTCGAAAATTCTTTGTCTCACATTCTATATGTTTTACAGTCTAAAATTCTATATGTCTCACATTCTATATGGGTCACAGTTTAAATTTCTATATGTCTCACATACATAACAAACCTGTGATTGTATTCCATATAAATAGTTTTTGTGCTTTCAATGTAATTATTACAGCTATAAAGTATATGTTTATGAATATGTTTACTTACAGCTATTAAATGATTACTGTCATGAAGGAATTGCACTTTTGGAATGGTAGCACCAAGTAGAGAAGGAACGAGAGTGGTGGGAAGTGGTGGATGATGAGGGTGATTATGTCCATGGACTTCAACTGGTACTTCAACTCTCTCAACTATAAAACATACAAAATTACCAAATAATTCAAAACAAATTACCAAATAATTCAATTACAAAATTACCAAATAATTCAATAAAACAAACAAAATTAATAACATATAATTCAAAACAAATGTCCGCTTGCACGTAGGGGATCTTTAGCATTGGGAGGAAACAAAAGGACCCAGAGAAAACCAACATGGTTGGACAGGCGACTTCACTGTTTGTTGTGTACAAGTGGGGAATCAAAAACAAGGCACTTGACTCAATGACAGATCATATGGTCAAATGTGCAACATTCAGTTCCCCCCCCCCCCCCACCCCTTTTGTGCATATAGAGGATAAATTAATTTCATGACAGTTTATATTCTACAGCATGTGTTTTTTACTTAATACCAGCATAAATATTTACAATAACTAAAGTTGTAGATAAAAAAATAAATTGTCACAGTATTATTAATTTCTAATTAAAGGTGGTTACAAAATGGAGTTATCTCCCTTTCAATACTTATTATTATTATTGAGTATCTGACCTGGTCTAAATCAAAAGAGAACACAACAAATCAAATATGTTTAATGTTGTACTATTTTCTTGAGGTGTGAAAACAATAAATTAACTGCTACAATGTTTTTCACTGAATCTATTATGGGAGGTATCTTATCAAGCAGGATGGCCCTTTGATTAATACCAATTAACCCTTTTTTCATCAATTTTATTTAATAAGACATAAAATAAACTCACCCACTCCAGTTGTAATGCTCGAACGTCTTTCAGTTCGTGTAGCAATCGGAAGAATTGTGTAGGGAAGGCGATTAGAAAGCATTTTAGGATGTTTACGATATTTTTCAAGCAGCAGATGATAGATGGCACTATGATGATCATAACAACGGTCTTCAACAGACTACAAAATAAATATACAGAAATATTAGTTAAATTTCATCTCTACATTGTTAAATATAAAAATGCTCTAATTGTTCTTCACTGCTTTAGCCCTATTAATCTAGAAGTTAAAGATACATTATGTAAGATTAAGATAAGGTGCTGAGTGCTGACCATTCTTGCTATAATAGCTCAACAATAGATAATGTAATATGAAAATATTGAAAATTTCATTCAAATTACTTCATTCTAAGCCAAGTTATCACTGTTTGTAGTTTTGACAAGATGTGTGCACTGTGGTAACCAGGGCACTGGTATATTCGAGACTTAGTCCCGCTTTCCCATTTTTAAATTAAATTTTTAAATGGAGAAACCGTTCTAATCTTGTTAAAATCTTGAGTATCCGATGCCATCATGTTTTGTTAATAAATGTCTAATTAATATTTTAGATAACATTTTAGGCCTAAAGAAAGACCTGCAATAGGCAGATGTAGCTCTTGCATAGTGTATGTTTAAAAGTAGTGACATGTTGCAAAAGCATAAGTATGGTCTTTATGCACATCATCATCACTGGCTGCATTCAACACAAGCTGCTGTTGGTTAGACAAAGCACTTTTACTCATAACAATGAAGATCACTGAGTCTCATGCGATATATCATCTTTGTGTTAAGGTTATTTCTGTAAAGTTCAGGTTAACAATATGATTACCATGTACAACCATTTAACCCAGGCTAATTAAAAGACTGTGTACTGTATATTTTATTGGACAGGTAATATTAATTTACTTCAAACCAGGCTGAAATCTGGTTAATTGATTGATTAATTGGTAAATATCCATGCTGTGCGTCTGTCAGGCCTAGAGGTGCGACGAGTGCACTTGGAGTTTGTAATCTTATTTCATAACAAATTTACTATCTTCATTAACTAAAATCTTTGGATATGAACTTTAATTGTGAACTTAGCAAATAAACAGTGTTAACAGGTAATCTAGAATAACAAGCCCTGCCTCATATACATCACCTATATCATACGACCAGTATTACCAAGTATGTAAGAAGATAGGTTGCCAGGCAACAGAACATATACCCACAGTCAACAAGACTTGTTGCATATTTTTACTTTTTTTGGTAATGAAGCATTTATAATACACTAAAATCTGATTATTAGTAACAACTCATCAATTAATTATCAGAAAATTATTAGAATTTCTTTGTCCCATGTACAAAACATTTAATATCATGGATTTAGCTGTTCAAGCTATCAAAATTCATTGAAAATCAATATACTTGGTCGTCTTAAACTCTGTGTATCAATCCAAAGTCAATCGAAACGATTATATATAGACGTAAACATGATGCATAAATATAAAATCAATCAAAATGATAATTATGGTCTCTAAAGCATCCACAAAATTTTTCAAAGTGATCAAGGACCATAAATCTGGCAGTAATTATCGGAAATCATTGAAAATCAATAGGATTCTTCATCCAATGACCTTAAACACCGTGTATAAGTCAATCGGCTATTAACTTTAGCCTCTAGAGTGCCCACAAGGTTTTTCAAAGTGACCAAGGGCCATAACTCTGGCAGTAATTATTGGAAATTGGTGAAAATCAATAGGCTGCTTCGTCTCATGATCTTAAACACTGTGTATAAATTTAAAGTCAATCGGATATCAACGGATGGACGGGGGCGACAACAATATACGAACACATTTCAATGAGCTTTAACACAAATAATTAAGCTGTCTGTGTGATTCATACCTTAACAGTTCTTTCCCTGTCCATTCCTAACGTCTCCATATAATCTAATATCTGTTCACTTGTTTCCCCGACATCCGATTCATGATCTGTGAACAGGTTATACTGTGATACAAGTTCACTAAAATCCTCTCCATCTTCCTCCCTACTACCCATCCACGTATGATGAATGATTTTATCCATGTGGAATCGTTTAGAGGGTTCAACTACCAACATACCTCGTATTAATGACTCACAATCTGTAACAAGATAAATATATTCTTTCATATAAATTATTGGATAATTAAGGTATACACATCGACTATATTGTATTCACGATACATAATATCCTAAAATATACAAATACGCGTTAACTTTCCTCTCTTTATGTCCCAATTCACATTTTTTCACAAAATTGAATCTAAAGCTTGACAATAAATAGAGAGAGTGAAATGGGGGTTTAACGTCCACTCGATACAAACTAGGTTCAATTTTATTTTAATAATTCACTTGGGTGTAGGGGTCTTTTGCGGGGGGAGGAAAACAGAGGACCCAGAGAAAAACTGATGAGGTTGGACAAGTGTACCTACTCCTTGTCAGGTACAAGCGGGGAAACAAAACCATGTCACTCAACTCAATGACAGACCTTATGATGTAATGTTCACGTGTTAACCATTCGGTCACCCAACTGCCCTTGACAATAAATAAGGCATGGATGTATGCAGGTATACAACAAGTTACACAACTCTCACTGAATCAGAATCTAAGTGCTACAAAGTCTTGGCTAATCAAATTGTTTATCACTCTGGTTAACTTAAGCAGAAAATGTTCATAATCCAAATTTTCATGGTATTGCTGTAATGAAACTATACAGCAAGTGTCCAAGGCATTGACCAATGAAATTGCTTATCTCTGCCTAGCTCATCATAGCGTTTAGTCACGGTATTTAGCCAATAAATACTAACACCAAGTTTGAAATTGTTCAATTAGAAGCAGAGTTTTAGTGTCCCATAAAGTTTAACGGACAGACAAACTATTTGTTCGAAAGGTTAGGGGATAATAAATATTGAGCACACATTGAGTCACCGACATATTTGATAATAATCAATTAAAGTTGAAGGTTTTTCTTTTTTTAAGCGTGAAAATAAGCCACCTGACTATTTTCATTGATACGTCACATACAAATATAACTTCCCTTTCCATGTCTATCTACCACATGCTACTTTTAAATTTAGTACATAAAGTTCACCATCAAATGGGGCCCACTATCCAGTCGACTATAAAAGTTCCTCGGGTTGGACCAGAAATATTTTTCTTTGAACTATAAGCATATAAATCTTATTGCATAAATCTACTTTGAAAAAAAAATAAATCTTCATTTTTTTCTTTTGCAATTCACATTGCAACAGAGCATTGATGTAGCAGGATTGACAAAATGTACTTAAATTGATATTAAAACATTTGTACTGTTAAATAACCCCAGAAAAAGCATTATTTTTGTTCATTAAGTCAGTATTTAGGTGTCTCTGGCCAAAAAAATAAAATTATGTCCAAAGTGTGGGTGTGGCTATATGCCTGTCGAAGTACATGTACACACCACGGCACAAGAGTTTAATAGACTCTAACTATAAACCCTATTACACTGCGTCACAAAATGGATATCAATTTATTTTTTAGTTTATTTGAATATTTCTATTTCCTGATGCAATCCCACATTAAATAAATACTATACTCATTATAGGAAAATAAATACAAATACAATTTAACACCAACACCTGATGCCTTAGTGCTACAAATAACGGCCACACCTATGTGTATATATGTACATTTACGCCCCTACTTGGGTATCAGGGTGTATCAATGTCATGTATGCCTTGAGACAGAAACACCCAATAATGTCAACTACATGTTGGTGTATTACATGTTAGCTATTTTAAATTTAAATAGATTCCTATGTTACAGATTAACATTTGATAAAAGAACAGTTAATATTCTTGATTCTGCAATCTTTTGTAATATAAAGGGAGCATAAACCTTAAAATGCTAGTTAATTAATTAGTAACACCGTGTTACAGACAAGTCAATATATGAGTAAGTCAAATCAATTAAGGCCTGGATTAGAGTATATTCAAAACTATTTTTGGTCTTTGTCTAGCCTGTCAACAATTAAGATTGGCTGAAACTTTAGTAGCCAGGTTGCTATAATTATGGTTTTTTTTCTCGTTAAATTCAGTAATATTATTAATAAAAGTTTTGTGTTTTATGTATTTATGTATCTTCTTTGCGGACAAATTCGGTATTTTGCTTCCACTAAATTTTATTTCTGGGTATGCCCTCAGAAATAAACAGAATTAAGAGATAACAGAATGAAAAATACTACATCTGATATAATCCACAACATTTAATACAAGTATACTACTATCAAATTAAATTGATAACAATATACAAATATATTATAAACCATTGTTATTAAATAACCACAGAAATAGTAATATCCATTAATCGTGTCATAAGTATACATTGACCTTTTAATAAACTCTTACCTACATGTACATGTATTTGAATAATTGACATATATTAAACATGATATAATATCTTTATTATACCCCATATTTAGAATTACCTTAACTGATAAATTAAAATTCTAATTAAGTATAAATTTACATCTATAGCAACTAAAAATATTTTTGATTGACAAAAATATAAACGTGGTCATAAATGGAAGTATGTAATAGACATAGGCTTATATTAATAAATCCTGATTTATTATCAATCTATATCAGTACTCATCTTGGTTATTATTAAGGTCTTTTAGAATTCAGTGCCTATTTTTATCATAAAAATATTCCAATAACTACTGATGCGTAGACAAGTGTTTAAAAGCACAATAGAAAAACGAATAATGAAGTAATACCGTTATAAAGTATGACATCAGAACACGCAAAGAATGGAATTACTCTGACGTCACTGTTAAGTATTTGATCGACCATAAATAGCCTTTTCATAGCTAATCAATATTAGGTTATTGTAACCTTGATACAATATGGAGGTTCTCTCTCGTAAGCTTTTTACATCCAAGCACTTCATTATTACGTAATTTATTTCATACAGAATTTAAACAAACACGTTTTATGCCTCGTCACTACCTAAAGTGTTAAAAAATATCAAATTTCAACGGTCAGAGTCCATATTCAGTTGGTGGTAGTCAATAAAGCGATTAAGTTTTGCTGACATTTCTGGAGTTGTGTGATTACTTTTGGTACTCTTATCTTTGAATTTTTTTTTTATATTGCTATATCATAATCCAACAATATCTGAACACTTAGATCTAGGTCTATATACAATGTATATTAAAGTTCTATAAAATAGGTTCAGAATATTTGACTCTATATCTGACTAGTTAGTCATTTAATTTGGATAATAAATTTGATGTGGAATAAATCTTCTAGAAGTTCAAAACTAACAGTTTGGAACATTAGCAGATGTATCTGTATCAACACCTTACTTTAAAAGTGTCTCAGGTGTAAAATATTTTTATATAAAATCACTAATATAAAATTACTTTTATAAGTAACCGTGACACTGAAACTGTCTTCAAACAATCATGTTTCATAAGATAACAGCGTGACCTAATGATATTAGGTGAAAACTAACACATAATTAACAATTCTCTGTTTCTAGGCAATTGATAAAATGCTATATGTAGCAGTAATCAGTTTATTAACACCTACTTTTATATACAAAGTATTTCTTGTGTGACAAACCAAGTTTTCAAAACAAGTGCAAAGTAAGGTTATGATTTATAATTCAACGTAAGCAAAAAATGTTCATTATTGAACTTTATCAAGGTATTGATAAAGTAGGAGGGTTGCCGCGGTCAGTGCTGAAGCCTTAGATGCGAGTCTGAGTGTAGTGGCCGTGGGTGCCAATCTTAGTGGTAGTAGCAAATATTCTATTCCTGACAGACACTCAGACAGACACTTGCTTACCCTAAGCAGACAATGCTCGGCATGGAAGTTAGGCGAAATATTCAACTAACGAAAATCTGCATGCTTGAACATTCTTCCTGAATTGTGTTCCAAAAGGTGTGACAGACAGACGGGCAGCTGCTTAACCTAAGCAGAAAAAGCTCCTCTGATTTTACTTACATGTACAGACAACACACCCGTAAGGGCATCGGTACACTGTTGGTTTGTTTGGTTTATAATTCATTAGCAAAAAAAACTACTTACCAGTCGACATAAAAAATGGAATGCGATATTTTCCACTGAGTACCCTGGCTCGAAGACTTTGTAATGTACTACCATCAAATGGTAAAGCACCACATACTAAGACATATAACACTACTCCAAGACTCTGTATATAAAATATATAATAATACACTAAAGCATCGAATCAGTAGAGTTAAGGTAAAAGTTAATTAAATGTAAGAAAAGTTAATCGATCTACAGAAGTACGAAAATTTTTGAAAACATACTGTTAAAGTTGTTGACTGTCATTGAATTCCTAGCAAACTACAATATTACTCAGGTCAAAATAGTTTAACCCCCCAAAAATTGCTACGAAAGGTTTCTCGACTGATTCTGGCAGGGTTTAGTGTACTGTATAACATACTAAAAGTTTACCAAAGTAGGACCCCCGGAAAAGTGTTTTTTCAAGATGGCATCGAAGATGGCCACCGAAATGTCTTAATGATCATAACTACAGTATGTAACTATCGACTCAAATTTGATGATCTTGGGGTCTATTCTTAGGTTTTTGGGGGCAAAGAACACATTAAGATCATTAAAAATGATGTTGGCCTATTATGTTGAGGGGGTATTTTACATAATATATTGACCTGACTATATTGTGAAAGTTGAATCTATAAAAGGAATATCAGTCGGATAATGTTTCAATTTGTTTAGAATTTACCAAGATATTTTGAATTGAAAATATCCCAACATTCAGCATCCTCTGTAGATGATATAAACAACCGATAAGTATTGGGTAAAATATTTTGAAGGAATTCTTTTTAATCCGATTGAATCTAAACCAGGATATCTTGGTTTTGTTTTCTTAATTACGTAAATCAAATACATGTAGGGTTGGGAGATGATGAAAAAAGAATATTGTGATAATGATTTATCAAATATCACGATAAACAATATTATCGTGATAATTTATACATGTGTCTTAAGAAGTTAAATTTTGAATACTTGGGCTGAAAATTGTCGGCTTGATGTCAGATTATTGTTGCTAACAGTGGTAGATGCCATGATGGAGATTTACCCTCGACCAGCTGGTATTTAATAATGTTATTTTTTACTGATGAATTTAATTCTATCAATAGAATGTCATAGGAGATGATATAGCATATGTATTATCATGAATATTGGGACACGATAATTATCATATCACAATAATTTTGGTTATCACGATATACCGGTTTTTCGATATTTTTAAGCAAGTCCGATCTGATAAAATCGCTGATGATTTTATCACCCTAAAATCAAACTGTGTCCATTTTAGAGCTCATAAAGCCATGACAAATAAAAAAATGGGAGATTTTGTTTAAAATATTCAAATGATGATCAGTATCTTTAACAAATCAATTCATTGTCAAAGATGAAAAGAGACTAATTTGCATGTCTCGAGGACCCATATGGAGAAACAAACTGTATTTAAAACTAATCTGTATTTGGTCTTGGGTTTCTAAGCTTACTGTAATCTTTGTGAGATTAATGAGAATAATTAGTTAAAGACAGTAATAATAATCTTACCCAAATATCCACTTTAGGAGCATTGTATTCTTTGCCTTCAAATAATTCAGGAGCTGCGTATGGTGGACTACCACACCACGTTTTTAATTTACCATTACAAGAGAAATAATTACTAAAACCAAAATCTACCAAAAAAATAAATATATATCAAGTTTAAAACTCAATTCCCCCCCCCCCATTCTTTCATGGCAAATAATTGGTTAATTACTTTGTTGGGGCCTTTTTTTTCTCAGTTCTGTAGGCAAACACTTAAAATGCCCAGTAAATATGTGTACATCATTTTGAGACCAATGTGCTTATTTTTTAAAAATAAAACTTGAAAAGAGCCACAGTGGTTACATATAGTTGAATAAAACGACCAAATGTACCTGCTATTTTAATATTGAGATTAGCATCTAAAAGAAGATTTTCTGCTTTAAGATCGCGATGTACCACCTGACGACTGTGACAGTACGCTACTGCAGCTACGATCTGCTTAAACTTCTTTCTAGCCTCTTTTTCATTCATACGACCATGTGCTACCAAATGATCTGAAAGATAAAATGATTTTATAATAAAATAGTAATTTATAGTAAATCAGTTTTTCACTGACACTTTCTGACACATTCAAACATCCAGGGGGGGTTGGATGGCCGAATGGTTAGCACGCGCGTGCTGTATCATACGGTCTGTCACTGAGTCAACTGGCGGTGTTTTGATTCCCCGGTTGTACGTGACAAGGAGTAGGGTCGCCTGTCCAACCTCATGGGTTTTCTACGGGTCCTCCAGTTTCCTCCCACTGCTAAAGACACCTAAGCGCAAGTGAATTATTGAAATAAAATTGAACCATATGTTAGTCACGAAATGACCTAGTTTGTGTCGAGTGGACGTTAAACCCCATTTCTCTCTCTCTCTCTCTTAAACATCCAGACTCTCAATCTAATCTTAATTGACTTGGATGATTATGGCCACATGATTACATTACAATAAACACATATATAAAACTGTGTAAAAAAACAAGATGAATAGCCTTCATACAGTTTAATTAAGATAAAAGATGAAAAGGTCTTCCTGCTTTACTGATCTATGTGATTGCATTTGTGTGTATTGTGGTAGCTCATAGACATGAGGTTAGAAATGATTCTACTGTATAGGAATTTTCTTTGATTGGCATTTAGTAATTGAACATACATGTATTAATTGAACATGCATGTATTAACACAAGGTACAATTTTATGGATATCCAATTACTGAGTTTAATACTAAAGATGAGAGATTCCTTGTCAGAAATGACGCTTAGTATTAAATTCAGTAATTGTGATTTGTAGTGGATTATGAGCCAATTTACTACATAACTTTCCTTCACAACTTAACGATTAAATGGATAATCGAGACTATGCTGTTTATTGTACTGACTTTAGTAATGATGATCAAGGCTAGCCGGAAATTTCAACCGCTTAGTTCTCGGTTCACATTGGATCAATTTGAATGAAATTTACAGCAAATTGCCATTACGTTATCTAGTTTTTAATTATTATAGTGAGAACTGCCAACTCTTTATCGAATCTCTCATAATGTATCTTTAAGAAAACAAAATGAAAATATCAATGGTAGACAATTTCCCCACCCTTAATTCAATTGGATTAAAAAGATGCCCTGCAAAAGACTTAAGCAAAGATTATAGGTTTTGAACATTTTCCACAGAGGATGTCGATCGTTGACAAATTTTATATTCATCTTAACAATGCAAAAAAAATACTGAACAGGATAAAATCATACTGGAAGGATATTGCTTTTAGTGTTTCAAATTTCACAATATTGTAGTACACACAGGTTTAAAATAACGATGAGAGAGTTTATGAATATCTTTATCTCTAAGTTCAGAAAAGGCACCATCACCTAATTGGATTAAAGAATCAAAATCAGAAAACATTAAAAACAAAACAGAAGTTTGCTTTGTTTTGGTAATTGTGAAGATTGTTCATAACCCTTCCCTTTAAAAGACGAGTTTAGCAAGACTTGAGGCATTACTAATTTGTTCTTTTATCTGTAGCAGGCTTGTGAAGTGAAGACGTGGTTTGGGCATGACTCGAGGTGATGTAGAAAGTGTGAGGTTTTTGTAGGCAACTGTCTGTATCTAATATAGCCGTACATGTATATAACGTTAATGTCAAGACCTTCATTGTTTACAGTTTTCTACCATTTTTTTTTCTTCAAGTCAGTAATTTATAAATCACTGTGAGCTTACTGTGTATTGTTAAAGGTTTTCTTTCTTATTTCCCATCTAAAATTCATATGATCTTACTACTTTGTGTCCTAATAGAAAGGAAGGCAATGGAATGGGGTTTTATTTCTCATCAACACAATACATTGGTTTTTTAACGCGCATGGTAATGTGTACATGGGTGGACCTTGTTTTTTTGTATCATCCCAACAACTGGGCAGACTTTCAAGCCTTGCCAGGAGCCAATTAAGTAAAGCCAGGTCTGAAAAATACCAGTTGTTCTCGATTCAAACCTGGGATATTCTAATCAAGACTCCAGTCTCCTAAAACAAAGGTAGAGCTGAATCTTTCGCACTCCTTGTTGCACCTGAAATCAAATTTTTATTATCACCTTATCCGATGATATAGCTCTGTTTCCCCATGTTTTAAGAAATTTTCGACTACAAAGTACAAAAGAAAAATGTAACACTCTTAGAACTCTCCTTCAATTATAAAGTCTTCTGAAAAGTTTTTTTTAGGAGATTTACTTTTTTCGTCGTCTTTGAGTGAAGTGCTGTCTTATTCATGGTGTTTCGGATTATGGGGGTTAAATCACATTTGTAATTGATGCACTAAATTTATTCAAAAAAATTAATACATGGTGTATATGATAAAATGGCAGCTAATGACAAGTACCATGCACAAGCAAAAATGTATCAATAATCATTCAACTTTCTAGAAAGGCAATGACAATTGATTCCTACTGTAAAGGGTTCTTTTACGTGCACACAAATGTGTATACAGAACCTTATCTTTTTTTTAATTACGTTCCAACAATAATATGTACATGTAGATGCTATCCTTGCCAGGCCCTTCGTCCTGAGCACTAACAAGGGGGAACCACCCTGGAAAATCCTGGAGAACTATCTCTGCCAAAACTAGAATCGAACCTCTGACCTCTTGGTTAGTGAGCCAGGATCCTACTCACTGAGCTACCACGGCTCCCATTCTAGAAAGGCAATAAAAATGCCCTTTAGAGGGTACGTTACTTGTTACTTCCAGGGTTCTTAATCCATTTTGAAATGAACCGGCCAGAATTGGGTCAAATGAGGTTCCGGTAGGAAATGGGTTTTAAAATTATAAGCTTCCATTCCCATTAATATAACTTCAACAAAAATAATTCTTGGTAATATGTTATGGAGAGTTTTGTATTCTAATGTATGTGATTACCCAAAAAATAACGACAAATAGGTACACCTTTTGAAAATTTTCCACATTTAATTCACGTACCAGCTTGAAGGTCACGTCTAATATTCCTGAATAAATTACTGTCTTCGTTTATTCGATGAAACGTTCGTGTTTCATCAGTCGATGATCTAAAATATTAGCATTTTTCTACGATTGTCATGAGTATCAGATGCTGTAGCCAAAAAAAGCTGATACAGCACCATGGCATTTCTTCATACAACAATTTGTAATTTTTTATCTATCACATAACTTGCAGAAGTTTTTATTCACTCGCCCATGATAGATGATAGACAAACGGCACAATTGTCACGTGACAATCATAATTGAAATTGCTTTAAAATAAAATTCTGTACGATTATGATATAGCCTTCAATAAAAACAACAATATTTTTAAAATTAAGCCTTTGTCAGAATGTGTATAAAAAAATCTTAACGGTAAACGCTATTTAAAACTGGTTTATTGACAAATTTCAATCAATTTGGCATTGAAGATTCTATTGGGAAAATATATTATTAATTACTGTTTCTCGGTGTATTTGGGAATTAGGGAATTATATTCAATGAAGATTTAAATTTACCTAACAACTGGTCAGTGAATCCATCAATGTATGATCCAGTTATTATTTTAATATCTACGGCTACCTGCAATTCATATGGCGCATGGAAAACACTTGATTGGCAAACCATGCGGAGATCGTCTTCTTTCGTCACGTAGGTTATTTTTACAAAAGCAGTTTACTGAACATGTTATGAATAATCAGCAAGCTTGTTTTGTTTTTTACCAGATCATCAAAATTGCCGTTAAATGTGCTAATTAGGCTACTCCGATTTTGAAGGCGTTGATTGGCTTCTTAATTAACAAGTAATAATTAACACGTTGTAATTTAGCCGAAAGTAGATTGATTTATGATACCATAGTGGCTGATTTATTGTTTTACCAATCAACAAAATACAGCCAATTAAGAACACTGGTTACTACCAATTTTGACTTTTTTCTTTTACCATTACTTTTTATCCTGAGCCAAACAAATTTAAGGAAAGGGGTATTGAAATGGGCTCTGTCTGTCCATCCATTTTTTTATATCATGAGCAAGTTTAAAGAACTATTCAATTTAACTTTATGAAACTTTGCACACACATTAACCTATTGCAGTAGTTTTGTCTTTTGCCAAGTTGAACTTTCTTAGTTGAAATATTTTTGTGTTTGCATAGAAACAAATTTAACAAGTCATGTGTAAGGGTGCCCAATGTTAATATATGACCAAGAGAAATTTTTCAAATGTTTTCTGTTCTTTGAAATTTGGCTATTGTACAGAGATGAAAGGACTGTTGTCTTGTGTTTTACCATTTCTACTATATAAATACTAGTGTTTATAAGAGTAGGGTTCACTAGCTGTGGGCTAATTTTATTGATTAAGAACCTGTGATTTCTAGTACATCAATAGCAAATAAACAACATGCCTTTGTGATTTGTGTCTAATGATTTATACACTACATGTAATTATGTTGGAGCACATATAAACAAGTCCATCAGCACGAATATATGTTCCACATTGTACCATTCACAGGTCATTTGATTGATCAACCACTAAGAATTAGTGGTGGGTAAATCCTTGGGACCTCTAATCAGTACAGGAGGACAACACACCACACAAGACCTTTTGACATAATTATGACACCTATATGGTCTCCCTGAAAGTCTAAGAATTCCACTTCAATAAAACTTGATAACCAGGAACCAGTTGAGTTGTAATTTAGGAAAGGTTAATAGAAGTACAAAGTACAATGTAAAACAAAAGAGTGTGTATTAACTTTTCTGATTACTTGCCAATAATGAACTGATAATGCTCATTATGAATATGTATTACAAAAAACTGTAGACGGACAAGAGCGTCAACAATATTATGTGGACGTATAAAAAGACCTCCACTCAACCCTCCTGTGTTACACTAAAACCAATAATATACTGTTCAAGTGAGATCACATACATGTATACTATACCAGTGTTGAAACCTTTTTTACTCATCTCTTTTATAAAAAAATATGCAAAGAATTTAATAAAAAAGAAACAAAAAAATATTATAAGCTTAACTAGTAAGA